TTGGTCCTATTGGTCCTGGCTTACCGTCTACTCCATCAACTCCTCGTTTACCAGGAGGTCCTGGTTCTCCTTTATCCCCTGGTGCCCCCTACAAAGTAACTTGTAACTTTTACAGAATAGATGCAATTCAATGTTCGCTGTTAGTTTCAATGACGAGAGGTAAAATTGAATTGTAATTTCACTGACGAAAGGTCCTTTTGGTCCTGGAGGTCCAGTTGGGCACGGTTTCGTGCATACTTTAGCAATGTCATACACAGGTTCACACGGTGGACGTGCAGGCCTTCCTGGTGCTCCAGGAGAACCTGGAATGCCTTTCATCCCTTTCCGACCTGGGATTCCTCTAAGACCTTTTGGTGCTTCACACCTAGAGGGTTCTTACCATCAGCTCGTAAAGTAAAATTTTGGAATCACTTAAAAAATGAACTGAAACATGCAACAAAATGTTCAGGCTTTGAAAGTGTTAGCTGATCGTCGCGCATTAAAGCTAATCTCACCTGCAGTGAGTGTTTTTAAAGTTCTTGGTCATTTTTCTTTTCACTGAATTTATTGAACTGTTCGTAGGTCTCTTACTGAACGCCTAAAATAATTTTATATTTAATGGACAGAAACCTTTTGTCTAATCTGAGGAATTATAACTTTTTCATTTTAAAGCTAATAATAATTTGAGCGTTTTGTGCTTAACGGACGCTAAACGGCAGAAACTGATGTTTACCTCAAACAGTGTGCTTTCATCTCGCTTCAGACGTTCAGATGGGATAGCTGATGCTGTATGTGCAATTAGGACATCAAGTACATCCTAAATCAAAAGTACCGCGCCTTTCATCTTCTTATAATTAATTTTTTTTGTAGCGGATGTGGAATTTACACTCGTTCTTACTTTTTCAGAAAAATGCGTTCGGAACCCTGTTATTTAGGTGACTTCTACTGTACTGGATTGATTTTTTATCATATAAGTTGCTTAAAATAAACCGTAGTGATCCCAGTAATGCTTTAAGTAATTCGTTAACAATTTAGTGCTTAGAAGAAAATTTTGTGAAAAAATTGATATGAGTAGCATAATCATACTTCACAAAAGTGCAAATCCTGTTCGATGTTGTTGTCGGTTATCTGGCTGTATCGTCTGAGAGCAGTGAGCGCTACAATCTGACATAGAAGTGGTGCTACAGCAAACGCTAAGGCAATCATTATTGCGGTTCGGTAGGCCATTTCTCTATGCTTCTCCAATTCGTCGTCTGCCAAAGCACTCTTTATGAGTTTACATGTTGTACCCATGTTTCCAGAACAATGTTGTTTTTCTCTAAACAGATATTATTTCAAATTTCCTTTTCTTTTTTGAATTTAAAGCTTGGTCGATAATTATTATGACTTAACGTGCTTTTTAAGGAAGCGTTCAAGGAACTAATGTTACTTTGATTATTAGTACTTTTTTGAGAAATAATGACAGTAATACGGATATTAACATTTATTGAATCTATAGGTTTACTGTCTTGATAATTTGCGTATAAAATGTTCTGTAGTCACAGTCATTAGCAATATTTTTGAACAAAAGCCTTTAAGGACTAATTTGCAGAATAAGACATCTTTGAAGCGTTTCTGGTTTTCGTAAATCTTAATTCAAATGAAGTCAAAAATAAGCACCAGAAAAGAGCACATATGATGAAAGTTTTAATTTTTGGAGGTCTTAGTGAGTAATCTGACCAAATTAGCTGCATTGATATGCTGCAGACAAGTTAGTAGTAATGCGAGGCCGAGTCTGTTTCTGCATAGATTTTTTACTACCACTTGTGCTGGCTATTTCTAAGACTAATAGCTCTTTTTTTTAGGGACCCATTGGCCTGAACATTCGCAGTTAGAACTTTGGTTTTGGTCAGCTTAGAGTATAAAGTGGAATTTGAATTTCAGTTTGGGATTAACAAATAACTGAACCACATGAAACTAGAAGTACTAAATTTTTAACTGTTAACATGTTTTGTTTAATTCTCAGACATATCATTTGTTTTATATTAAGAGACTATATTTGGCATATGTAATAGCAATTGGAATTACAATGAGCAATCTAAGGTAGGCGTAATTAGTTTATTTAATCAGTGGAGTACCTATGTAAAGACGAATGTTCACCATAAATGACAATAGAAGTAAAAATGAGAAAAATTTGACGTAGGTTTAAAAAACACCAGTTTTTTTATACGACGCATAATAACCGTTCTGTAAAACTGATTTAAAGTATGAAAAAATTGGCTGGTTTAGTCCGATGTTCCTGAAGACTGTCATCAAAAATTCTCAGCTGTCTTAGGCAGATGAGAGGGCTTTTCATATGACTGCTTGAAAATATGGCCTAAATGACTTTTGTTTAGGAAAATGCTCAAAATGAGGAAGAAGGAAAAGAAAAATAACGAGCAGTTATTTGTAAGATAAATAGGAGGGTAAACAGAATTTAATTTTTGACAAAGAGGCGAAGCATGGTTTGGTTGATTAAGAAATTCGTTATAAAAAGCCAATATAATAAACGAACTACCAAATAAGGCTGAAAAACTGCCGACAGCCGATCAGTGATGAATTATAACAACGGTGCGAATAGCTGCTCGGTAAACTTAACGTTCACTGCGTAATGTCCCAATTCTGAAATTAACCCACTAAAATCAATCTTTGGCTTTTAGTATTCTCTTATTAATGATGAATGGTTTGGTAATAAATTTAATTAGGATGATAAAATTTAATTTCTAATTTCTATTTTCTTACACTACCAAAGCAAAAAACTGACAATAATGTTAGCTTTTTAGTATAATCTCTTTACTGTTGTCCTGAAGGATTAAGTAAATTATGAATTTTTATTTATGGTTGTCTTTTTTTTTCTCGCTCTACTCGGTCTAATTGAGAGAACAGCTGTTTTTCTTCTAGTTTATACTGTACTGGGAATTGTATCAAACCTATGTTATGCATTTACTGTTGGTCACCTGAGACTCTGTTTTTTTTTCTTCTCTGTTACTCTTTTGTCTTATGTATCTGAAAGCAATATTGAAGAAAGGCCATACAAGTGCGTTTGATGGAGGATTCTTATTGGTTTGTGTTCTACTGTCAGTAGTTATTGTGATTTCCATTGAATGACCAGATCGGTATCAGAAGTCGGTAAAGTCTGTTTTATAGGTTTTCTTTCATTCACCGAGTAAAAATTGGGAATAAGTTCAATGTAATGGCGCAAAGCACAAGCAGTCAGTGGGTAAGAAAAACGCTGAAAAATAAAGATGTTAAAGTTGTAAGCCATTTTTTCAGTAAAAGGCGCTCGAAGAGTTTGCTTACATTAAGTCTTGGTTTTGTTCACGCACTGATAAAAGGTCATTAGTGAATAAAATGAGTAACTGTAAAATGCTGCTCAAAAAGGGTGATGTAATGGCGGGCGTTACAAACGATCGAAAACAGATATTTGTAGCACAGGTTACGTATTGGAGAAGTTTTTGCTCAAGAAGAATTTTGAAATTTCAGTTGTTTTTTTTTTTTTTTTTT